GTTTTCATAACGAAACGATCATTTTTCTGAAAAATGAAAACGTTAACATCCCTAAATACAACTTCCTGGAATTATGATTTATCAGCTTTGTATTTGTATTTGTATACTGTGAAAATAAACTAAATAAGAAAACACTTGAGACTTGATAATATTATAAAATTTAAAATAAAATAAAATTTTGATACAGGGTGTCCCAATAAACATGGGAATTCAGTGACGATTTTTATATCGTCTTTGTTTTGAATTAGCATTGTAATACCTAACTTCAAAAGCCATTATATTGATATGCCTGCTAAAGTTAATTCACAAAAACGGTAAATGGCTGTAAAGATGTGTCTATAATGTATCCGTAAGATGAACAGTGAAGACGGACAAGTTACTCTGTTTGTATATCATAATTTTCTTTTTACTATGTACAACCATATGCAGTCAAAAAATAAACAAACAAATTGTAAACATAGCAGACGAAAATCTTAAGGATTACAGCTTTCTTAGTTGGTGTCACTATCACTATACTAAATCAAAGAATTAATTAAAAAGACGATATCGAATTCTTCACTGAATTCCCATTTTTTTGGGGGACACCCTGTACAAAAATATATTGAAGATCAGAAAAGCAGTAGAGTATAATCTAATTACCTTGAGATGTGAAATTTTTTTTACATTGTGCCATACCAACATAAATACAAGCAACTCAAAAGAAAGTTATGAACATGGAACAGAAGCAAATTAATAATTGTTTTTCGGATATTTAGAATTTGAAGACTTTTCTCTGTATCAATATTATATTTATCAAGAATAGGCTACCCCCACTACATACACTGAGAAACTCAACATTAGCCATGAATACCTATTTATTTGGACCACGTCAGTGACATTTGCAAAAAAGTTTGAGTTTTTTTAAATTCCCATGGCAACTCCATGCTTCAACTGAAATCATAATTTTAGGCCAAGCATGGGTATCATTACCATATCATTATCATATTATTATCATATCATTATGAATTATCGTTAGAAATTAACCTGGGCTTCTCTGCCGACAAATCTGTCCTCTCAAGTGTTCCAACCCTAGTGCATCCAGACCCATCCTCCAAGGTTTCCTTTTTATAGATGCCTCTAGTTCCCATGTTGGAGCTGTTCTTCAACACTTATGTTGCTGGTTCTCGGGCTCCTCTAGCTTTCTACTCTAAGAAACTGTCTTCAGCTGAGTCAAGATATTCCACCTTTGATGCTTATTTCACCCTCCGCCATTTCCGGTTCCTCCTGGAAGTTAAAAATAATTTGTTTTGGTTACTGATCACAAACCACTGACTCATGCCTTGTTTAGGACTTCTCAGCCTTGGTCCGCCATGCAGCAATGCTGCCTTTCCTTTCTGTACGAGTTCAACTGTGATATAAGTCACCTTCCATGGGAATAGAATGTAGTGGCAGATGCTCTGTCTTGTCTTGATCCTGGTAAGCCATTAATTTCTATGCCATCTCCACCTGATCCAAGTTCTCCTCAATCTGCTGATGCTCTTGTCTCTGAGGTGTTGGAGATGTCAGAGGTGTTGGAGGTGCTGGAGGTGTCGGAGGTGTCAGATCTATTGGTGTCCTCTCTACCTCCTGCTCCTCCTCCATTAGTTCCCGGAATATCATATTCTGAAATGTCGGTGCTCTAACAGTCGTGTCCAAAAGTCCAGAACCTCCGCCAATCCTCTGCCTTGATGAGAGTGGGGAGGGGCAGAGTAAATTGTTTTATTTTGCATTTGCAATATCGATGGCAATAAGTATACATTGAAGCGGTATTTTAAATTTAGGGCAAGCCTTCAGAGGTTCAGGATGGGTAAAGGGGGGCATTGTCACATCCCCTCCTTTAATCATATGTTTAGAATGGATTTTTAAAATGCCTTTTTTTCTGCAGCGCTCCTTCATCAGTATCACTTTAATTATTTAATAGTTTCTGTAAGGGATTAAAATGAAAATTGGACCTCTCAGGTTTATATCATAAAAGAGACTATAATATGCCTTTGTAAATTCTATTGTATGGATAATATTTTTTTAAAAATTTCAATTATTATCCCACCCCCTGAAAATTTCAGTAGTAGGAGAGTAGATTGCATTATTCTATACCATTCTTGAAGATAAAGGGATGGAATCTTTGAATGTACATTACATTGATATTAGCAATAAGTGGGGAGGTGGGATGGTAATTTAAAAGCTTTATATTATCCCCACCTAACTTAATTCCTAGAACCACCCTTGAATGTAAGGGTAAATCTATTTCTGTAAGCACAAGAAAGGACATTTCATGTCTATGCTTCAAAATTTATTGAATTAAAATAAAATTTTCTTAGAATTTAAATGTGTCAAAAATTTATTTGTTCTACCTTTGTCAACACTAATAAAACATCTGTTTAAGTCAAATATAAAATTGTAAAGTAAATAATAAAAAATATCTATATTTATTTGGTTTGTAAAGTAAACAAGATTCTGAATTTCTATGGATATTGATTTTTGTGACTTGAAAACTCATAATCTAATTTTAATGTACACCTGTAGTAGGGTATAAAATAGGAGTGAAATGTTAGTAAGACATCAGTGTTTAATAGAGCTTAAACATGAAATCATTCTTTTGTACTCTTATGCTTGCTTCAGTAGCTCTGGCCCATAACTCCATGGAAGAGGTAAGTTTTACATTATATTCTCAACTTACTCATTTTAGACGAAACGCAATTCTTAAATCAGAAAAATAATCAGAGAAGTTGAAATATGCTAACGTCCCACAATCTCAAAATATGTTGTCTCAACAATGTACATAAAATGATAATTAATTATTAACTATTCGTAAAAATATAGAAAAATTGGAAAGTAAAATGTTTATTTGTATTTGCAGAATTTTAATGTTGATACTTAAGAAACATATGCTTTAGCAACTTCAATCCAATCCATGCTTACCTCACTATTCATCATAATGATTTAAATTTTGACAACTTGGTTTAAATTGACTTTTTAGATGGATGGCATGGACGAAGGACTCTGCCTGGATACCATGACTCTTCATGCTATGTGTATTTCTGGTTCAAACCTTGAGAGCAAAATGGGGGAAGCTGTTCAATGTTTCATGGATGATGGGGAAGCAGCAGGACGTAGACGTGGAGGACGAGGAAAAGGCAAAGGCAAAGGAAAAGGGAAAGGAAAGAGATGTCCTACATTTGATGATCTGACTGAAATGATGAACGAGAAAATGGGTTCTTCTGAATGCTTCCTTCAGAGCTTGGGATGGATTGATGAAAACGGAGAGGAGGTTAATGCAACTATTGCTGACGATATTGCTTCTCTAAACCCAGAAATCAGTGCTGAACTGTCTGAAGAAGCTATTGATAAGTGTGTTGTAGAAATTATGGAGGAAATGGCTGAGAACCCTATGTATACCAAGTGTGCTGATACATACAACGAAGAGGAAACTTTGGCTCTAGAGGGGATTGGCATGAAGATTGCTGGCTTCCAGTGTTTCACAAAGACCTTTGATGCATCTTGCAAAAGCTTTATTCAGACCCATTATTTGGAGCCCCTTCTGGCTTCTTTTAATATTCCCCAGATGGGATAATTGATTTGATATTTTTAAAGTTTCAATAAATTTTAATATGACTATACTATTTAATTGTACAATCAAAAACCTTTTTGTGAAAGAATCTTTAAATTTAGAAGATATGATTTAACAGGGTTTGGAACAGTTCCCCCCAAAAAGTTACATTTTTTCTTTAAACCTTGAAAACCCATATATTTGCCATGTATAAAAAAAGCTAGCCCCTCCTGTTCAAGATCAAATTTTTAATAACTCTATTTGAAAAAGATATCTCAAACTGTTTTTAAACTTTTTATTAAGTTAAATAACTAAACATTGCTGAAATTCAAATCACTCTGTCCCCGTAGTAAATTTTAATTCGAACAGGACCTGCCCAGTTTGTACATGCCTGCCAGATAACAGCGTGTACTAACCCGATCCTATGGTACAGTACATCGCCCTAACCAGACTAACATTTGACAGGGGTCAATTTTCTTGGCATAGTCCGGTGAGAGGGCTAACTATGACAACTCCCATGGCTCGTTCAGACTTTTTACAGTACCCGGCCTAACCCTAGGCCTATTTGACCACCCCCACTGGCTTAGTCCACTGTGAAATTCAAGATATAGATATAGATATATGACTAACATATTAAAACAAGTATTTGAACTGAAAAACTTGTTTGCTTAAATAACACTCAGTGCTATCTAAAATTGTTCCATGAGTATGCTCCGGCGGAATACTAGAGAATTTGTAGAAAAGAGGAAATATACTATGATAAAGAAAATGAGTCTACGCCACAAACTCTTTTCAACACAAAACTATAGATTATAGTTATTTCCTACAATGCAATCTGTTAATTGTTTCAAATAATTTACTGATTTATGATAATACTGCATGCACAATACACACATGCTTATACCAGCCCAGATAATTGACCCAGTTTTTTTACTCCAAAAAATGGATCAATAAAAATAACATGAAAAAAAGAAGAAAATTGCAACCTCGAAAAAACACAAACATAATCACATCCTAGTTTAATTTGGTTTGACTTTACCAAGGCATAGATTCTTGTCAATGTCAACATAGATTCTTGTCAATTTCAACATAGATTCTTGTCAATTTCAACATAGATTCTTGTCAACTCGGTGTTGATTTTGACCTAGATTAGAGAAATTCTAAATCACATTACATAGGACTAATCCATATCTTTTGTGGCCGCCCTGCAGATTAAGATGATTCCTTTAGGATGTCTTTGAAAACACGCATCAGCTGTTCTCACCGATTGATCTACACCAAATTCCAGAACCAAAAATTTGATTCTGTGATGTCCAGCTTCGGCCTCTTGGTATTTTAAAGAAATAAACATTTGTTTCAAAATTTGGTTCCATCGAAGTATTTGGTAAAATCTGAATGAATATTTATGGTTCACCTTAAAATGTGCATATTTCAGTCGCCAGTAGTTGCTCTCCTACAAACCAAAACTATTGCACTGAAAACGATGTGAAGTATGAGGGTGGCGACCTAATATTAGGTAATACTAAAAAACTTATTCATTATAATCCTATCTCCGCAATCACAATCTGAAAAAGTAAAACGTTAAATTTGACTTTTTCATCAAAAGAATTTAAAGTTTAAACATAAAAGCAATAATACATTAGTGTCCGAATTTGATGAATTTAAGCCACGTCTGAAATCCCCCAAAAACCGGTTTTGATTGACAGCCGGCATACATCTTGAAAAATTTAATACAAATTTAAGTGAAACCAACCATATTTGAGACGCGGCTTAAATTAAATTGCAGCTCAAATTCGACCTGAGGTTGGAAAGATAAAAGAATTAGAAAATAAGAGATTGAGGTATGTAATAATTAACTACTTTTTGAAGTACATTTTCTGTTGTTCAACTACACTACAACCATGTTCGCCTGTTTTTTTTTAAATATATTACTCATGGAAGTTTTAAAGTTAGTAATTGCAGTCACAGAATTGTTAGAAACCAAAATCTAAATTTTTATAAATTAAAACGACAAATTCTTTAAATATGGCTGTTCTATGATTAGAATTAAAGAATATCTTGTTGGAAAAGAAACTTTAAAGTTCTACATACTAGCATGTCAAGGCACCCATCTTTGCCAGTGTCGAGAAAGTACCGCAAAAAATCACCTACAGGCTACAAGCTACAGGCTACAGGCTACAAATTATTAAATTTTCATAGAAAATATATATCAAGTCATTTTTCTATTCCTAAAAAAATCGTTAAAGTCCCAATTTAAAGAATCTAAGCCGCGTCTCAAATCCATTTGGTAATTTCTGTTCTAGTCTCTAACAATCCTCAAGTCACCGTTGAAGAGAAACCGGAACCAAAATACAATCAATTTTTAGAAAATAAAACAAGTTTTTCTACTCCGCTAAAAATTGTAAGAGTGCCATTATGTATTGAAAAATCGCAGAAAAATCTGGGAGTCAAAACTTGATTTCATCCTCGAGTCAAAAATACAAATATTGTATGCGGGGTAATTGACGGATACTTTAAAAGATTGAAATTACAATTCCTAATTGAACCTTTCCTATATTTCATGACTTGTTTTCAAGCCTAAAATATGAGGTCAAACATTATGGAAACCGAATGTATATTAGTAACCGCTAGGTATAGCAACAAGGCGTATTTTGTGGGAGAATATTTTTTTAATTTTTTTGAAAAAATTAAACTTTTTGTAGCTTATTAGTTATTATTATCATATTTTTTTTAGTATACCCTTGACATTAAGGAACGAAAAAGTTTAATGATAATATCAATGCTATTAGTTTAATTTAGTACAATTAGAAAAGAGTCATTTCAGAAAATGAAGGCGGAACATTGTCAGGGACAGTTTATTTTTCTCAGAAATATACAATACTCCCCAAAATAAAATGGTCAGTGAAGTCGACCTTTAAATATTCGGTGCTCCCCAAAATTAAATGGTAAATGATGTCGACTTATCAACTATTTGGTGCTCCCCAAAATAAAATGGGAAATGAAGACAAATTCTCGAATTTTCGGTGCTTCTCAAAATAAAATGGTAAATGAAGACGACTTTTCAAATATTCTATGCTCCCCAAAATAAAATCGGAAATGAAGACAAATTCTCGAATTTTCGGTGCTCCTCAAAATAAAATGTCAAATGAAGACGACTTTTCAAATATTCGGTGATCCCCAAAATAATATGGTAAAGAAAGACAATTTCTTGTAAATATACAGTGCTTCACAAAATAGAATGGTATATGAAGTAGACTTTTCAAATATTCGAGGCTGTTTTCATTTACCATTTCATTTTTGGGAGCACCGAATATCTGAAAAGTCGACTTCATTTTCCAAAAATTTTAATTTTGAATTTTTAATATAAAAATTTTTTCCCGCAAAATACGCCTTGTTGCTATACCTATATATGTTGTTAGTATGTTTGTCCTCATTATTTGCCCTACAATATCATTATTTTTTAATATTTCGTTTTGCAAAATATATATGTTTAATGTTGAATATTTTAATACATGAAAAAAATAGTTGAGAATTTTTTCCAAACCCACTCCGATTTTGCTTATTTTTGGTCAAATTACTAAAGTAAACAAGAAAAAAAATGTCATCAAAATAAACTAAGACGGTTATCAAAATATCCGTCTTAAAACATTAAGTTCAGAAGCGTTAAATTCGTAAAAAGAAACATTGAAAAATTAGCAAATTATAAACAAAAAACGATTTTTTTCAGAAAGATATTTGACAGAGTATCGAAAAACTAGTATTTTTTGACCAAAGTATTAAATACACATGGGGAGAAATCGATACACATATCAACATTTCTGAAAAAATGGAAAAATCGACTTTTCTTTATGATCGCTGTTTTGATTTTTTCAATGTTTTTAATTGTTCTTTAATTTGATACTGTAGCCTGTATTGCTGGTGAAAAAATAGTTTCCTTCTTCTTTTAAGCAAATAAACTTTTTTATTTTTAGTTAGAAGGGTAACAGGTTCTGAGGACTGTGAATGCAGTTGCAGCAAAAACAGGCGCTTTAATATTATAGAAACAAAAACAATTTTGTTTGAATTTTTCCATTTAAAGAAATGAATTTTTACATTTTTATGTATGCATTGAAATATTTAAATACTCGTTATATATTTTTTAAAATTTGAATATTAAGAAAAATATGAAACAAAAAGTTCAGAAACAATTGTACAATTTAATTAGATCCAAATCGGTAAATCCGTAAATAAGGTTATAATATTCCTCTATTACATGTAATATTATTGATTGTATGAAGTCAATGTACTTGGTATTTTTGGGAAACTTCAGGAGGATGTTTTCTAATGCAGGGCCTACCCACCAGCAAACAAATCAACACCCAAGGCGTCTCAGGGTTTAAAACCGGATGCCCAACAACAACCACTTCATCTACAACTACAACTATATCAACAACCACAACAACAACAACAACCACTTCATCTACAACTACAACTATATCAACAACCACAACAACAACTACTGCAACCACATATACAACTACAACTTCCACTTCGACAACAACAACTACCACAACTACTACAACCACAACAAAAACCACTACTTTAACCACAACAACAACCACTACTTCAACTACGACTAAAAGACCAAAAAGAATATGTAAGCGTTTTAACAACTAATAATATAGAAAATATGCCTGATAAGATATCTATGACTAAACGTGTTTAATGAACAAATATTAAAAATAATTTAGTTATAGAGTGATAACCAAAACACAATGAAATAGGAAGACGACATTATAACAACACTTGAGTGTATTTGATGTTGTCAAAGAGCAAATAGTTTTGCTTTTCACTTATAAAATCACTAATTTAGTGATATGGGTCTTTTTACACTGCACAATTGCTTTGTCACTTGCTCATTAGACTTTTTAAAGTTATAACTTAATTCTTCCTATTCTAGAGTTTTCTGGTTTTCAATGAATTAAAATTAATAATTAATTAATGATAGAATTGTATCATTGCTTACAAGGTAAGAAGTATAAGTATGTCAACACTAAAGAGGATCCAAACAAAATCAATATATCAATTTATGATAGATAGATTTTAATCCATAGATCAAAATCCATTATCATTATTGAAAATTCATATATGTTATGTAAGCTTCAGGGTTACTGTAAAGACGACCAGAAGCTCTTGAAATATGATAATAACAAGGTTAAATTAAGTCGTATGCCTTGAGGCAATAATTTAATGGCTTATTTAATGATTTGACAAAGAAACAAACATGTTTACATCTGTTGTGAGGAATCATGAATATAATGAAACACAACAGTATAAATTCCCTACAGTCGTGTCTGAAGTCTTATACTTCTTAAGCAATCCTGAATCTGCTCTATCATTGAAATAATTTGTGGGGAAATATCATGGAAGACGACATTTATAAAGTTCTTTTTCAATAATTTCTATTTATACAGCTGGTCAAATACAAAAGGATTACACTTTAATGACGACCCAGAGCTTTTATTTTAAAACGATATAAAGGTTTAAGTTTTAATACAACAGTATTTAAAAGCCTTATATACTGATATTTTGTTAAGAAAAAGAACCAGCTACAGAACGTGTCATAAAGTGTAATCATCGTGCTATAATGTTAATTAGCTGATAAGATTATAAAGATGAACATGATGAACAAGATGAACAAGATGAACCAAATGAACAAGATGAACAAGATAAACAAGATGAACATACGTGTGCTAAAAATTTTTGATCTGGTTCCTGGATTTTCTCCAATAAATCTAGGATATTTCCAAAATATTTTTTTTTCAATTGAAATTAAAATAAAATTGAAATCAACTTCACATTTTGATCTAGAATTACAGCCATTGCAATACAATTTCATAGACGTTTCATAAAATTACCCTTAACACTATTATTTTGGTACGACGTGCCATAAAGTTTTTGGACTTAAATTGTCTCTATATCTCGAAGGTTCTCGTCTTTTTTGATTATATTTTGTCCCTCGCTAAAGCTCGGGACAAAATTAAATATAAAAAGACTTGAACCATCTCGATATTAAAATAAGTTTATATTTTTCAAAAAATATTTAGTTGTCTATTTCTCCTAATGTAAAAGTACTAAAACTATATTTTCTTTTTTTCAAGATTATATTTCAATATTTTTAATACTTGAATGTAGAATAAACCCTGGAAAACATAAAAAAAATTGATTTCTTCGTATTGTTCACTTTTCTTACTTTGTTCTTTTTTCACTAAATATTTCTTTCGTTCTTAAAAATTTCGTACATTCTTAAAAACGATGTCCATCTCATCCCACATTACCCGCCTCTCTCTGCCATTCGGGCTTCTCAACGTAATCTATGGATATAAACAAACCCCAGAGAACCATTTGTCCGATGTTTTACTCCTCAACCGTGTTCTGCGCGTTAGATCCCCGATCAAGGTTACAGTCCGAGGAATCTGTTTAGTTCGGTTTTCTCCTTGAGTCGACCTGGCACACTTCTTTCAGATCTTCTCAGTTGGGGAAACTTTAGAACTTTAGAAACTATTCACCAATTAGAAATGTAAATTTGTAGTGAGCCATCAGTTTAAAGGAACTACGTCATTTCAAATAACTTCTGATTTAAAAAGTGTGATACCAATTAACTACACTTCCCATTAATATTATATATTATATAAGCAACAATGAGAATTGATATCGTTGCTCTTTTTCTTTTAAAGTGCCAAGTTCTGGCAGATACTTCTTTTAAAAATTATCTATTTTTCAGACAAAAATATGAATATCTTAATTAATTTTGCTTAAATGTAGATTTAAATATAACCCACACCATTGTAAATCGGGTTTGCAGCAAAGTAAATGCAGAGTCACCTGAATTTGTGATCGTTTACGTAAGAACTGAACTCTAGTTACGATTGACCGCTTTACTTTATTTGAATGGAACGAATAAGTATTTTCATCGGCTTATAATTGAAAAATCCGCGAAAATTTATTTGGAAAAACCACTATGCAAAAAATAAACTTTAAGTTGCACAAAAAATCAATTATGAATATTTTATTACCATTATAGTTTATTTCTTGTTATTATTGTATTATTAAAGGTTGTAATTATCTAATATTAAGTTAAGTATGAAAACATCTTTTTTTTTAGATCCAAAAAAGTTTGATCGTCAAAAGCCTTTCGCAAGTTAATATGTAATTTTACAGGTAAATTATTATAACGATAACTTTACTTCATTTTATTTTAGTGTCATCAATTTCAAAACAATAGATTTTTCTTTCATCGTTAACTAAACGAAACGAACGGTATTAAAAAATTTCAAAACTTCGCTAAATTTGCATGCATCATGCTTCCACAAAAATTGCGAGAAATATATTATTAATTAGTATTCTTTTTGAAACCCTTATAGATAGAAGCTTGGAATATCTCAAAACCATATGATAATTTTAGTTGCAGCAAAATATTTAATTTTAAGATTAAATCAAGTTAATAAAATTTAAACAATAGCAAACTCGTTGACATTTTATCTCCACTGTATGTATGTATTTAGATAAATTAAAATAAATGAATTTTTAGGCAACTTCGGAGATTTTTTTCTTCTGGTGCTGTTCTAAACAAAGAAGAATCCATTGATCGCAGGAAAGAATAAAATGAATAAAATGAAAGAAAGTAATTCATATTTAACTTTTTAATAAATGTTTCCCAAACCTGATCTAAAATCAATAAATCTAAGATAATGGTTTCAACAAACTATTCTCTTGACATCTTCTTAAACTACTTAGGAAATAGTACATTCCCTCTAGTCCCCTCTCTCGATCAGCTTATCCCCCCCCCTTCCCTCCTCTTACTTCCTT